TGACTTTTTTTTGTCCATATTTTACCATTGAACTTGTTGAACCGTTCAAAAAACATCCTTATAACTTGCAATACCAGGTTTAGCCGGTTTCCGGCATATTTGATTGCTCCGGTAAAGCTCCGGTCATATTCTCCGGTGAACATGATTTTTCCGGTGAACTCAAGAACTCGGGTTTGTTCTCTCCTTATGTCTCTTTGTTAGATCTAAACAAATTTTGAACATAAACCCATGTGGGTGTTCGATTTTCAAACTCAACTCAAACTCGGAAATCAATTCTTCATCTTCATCTTCTTCTGTTCAAACTCAAGAACACACATCATAATTTCTCACTCTAAAAACGATTTTTGAGGTGTGTGTATGTTAGATCAGAACATGAACCAAGATCTTTAAAAATCGAACATGAAATTGTTTATGGGGTATTAACACAAATCATATATATTCCAGATTCAAGTTCATCTTCAAGCTCGAGTTTTGGGTTTGAAAACCCTAACTCGAGTTCATCTTCAAAGCTCGTCAGACCTTCAAGAACTCGTCAGATCTTCAAGCTTGATTTTGAGAAAACCTCCACATGTGGGTGTGTTCATCTTCAAGGAACCTAAAACACACAAACTCGATTTCTTCTTTGTTCTTGGAAATCGATTTATGGGTTTGAAAACCCTAACTCGACTAAGGGTTGTTCTTGAGTCTGATTTTTCGCCTTTATGTGTTTTTGGAATACCATATCAATCCTCGAGTTTGTAAGTTTCAAACAAATCAAAGGTGTGTGCATGTGTGTTCATCAAGTGTGTGTATTCATCTTCATCTATCTTCGATTTCTGGAAGAAAAAAAAAACTTTACCCTAAGTCTGAGTTTGTGAGCATAATGTGGAAAGAATTCGAATTGAAGATGGATTCTTCTAAAATAAACTCGAAATCTGGAGTTTTTCGGATGGATTTGTTCATTGTATGTTTCAGATCTTTATCTAGTTCATCATGGTTGTTCGTGTTCTTGAGAGCTTCTTCATATTTGAGTGTGTGTGTGTTTGTTCAGAACACGAACCCAGATCTGGACGTATGTATGATTTCGTTTTTTTGATACATTTTCTATAAATGATTTATTCAGATTTGTGTGTGTGTATATGTGGGTTAGATCAGAACACGATCCTAGGCTCAAGAAATTGTTTCAGGTTGCTTAAGAACACTATGGACGGAGGTTGAAGATGATGAACAGTGATCTGATGGAAAATCATGAATGTCGAAGTTTTTGAGATCACCAGAAAAATCAGGAACGCCGGAGAAGATGACCGGAGCTGTCAAATACGCCGGAAACCGGCTAAACCTCCAATAGTAGGTCATAAGGATGTTTTTTGAACAGTTCAACAAGTTCAATGGGAAAATGTGGACAAAAAAAAACTCGATGACTTAATGTGTACAAATCAAAGAATATGTTACCCTTTTAAGTCATTATCCCTAAAATGTCCTTAATGTTATTTTTTGGTAGTCTAGAGGCATAAAGTGTTATTTTTCATATCAAATAAGCCATTATCGGAAGGGGTAAGGGAAGAAGCGGTTGCAAGACTTACATGACATGCCATGTGGCAATTTTATTTGGATAAGTCACCCACACTGGTTTGAGATGACGTCCACGTCGCCTTTTTTTATTATTACATATTTTTAGAATTATTATTATTATTATTATTATTATTATTATTATTATTATTATTGGATTTTATTAAACATAAAAATTATGAAATAAAAGTTATGAAGATTTGAAGAACATTTAGCCAGTTCTTAATCAAATGAAGCACATTCAACACCACCACCTAACAGCACGATCGACTCCCTTCATGCACCACCATCAGCCACCAACATCATCCATCTCCCACCCATCAACAACCACTATGAACAACCAAGATTTGAAAAACACCATTAAAACAATTTTTTATAAATTTAACAATTTTTTTCATATTATATTGTAGGCGTCTTCATGTTCTTTGAAGCACACTCAATTATCAGCACCATCCTTCAACATCGACCACAAACCACTGACAACCACCATAGTAAACCACCAAGAAAAAAATCAAGAATTGGAACTATCAAATATGTGTTCCTTATAAAGATGAAAGTCAAACAAAAATCCAACCAAAATCTGGAACACAAACATGGATCTAGAAAATCAAATGGGACCCAAACACTCAAAAAACACATCAGGAGAATCTAAATCGAACCCCAACTACTAAAAAATAAATCTTGAAATTTGAAATTGAACCCCAAATACACGAAAATAAATATGGAAAAATCGATATCGAAAACAAATCTGGAAAATCGAAATGATAACAAATCCAGAAAATCGAAATAATGCTCGTGTGTTGCGTCATCTTAGAAACCCAGAAAAAAAAAATAAACTCACAGACATGAAGATCTAGATTTCAAGATTCATTTTTTTATTCTTAGATTTGTTGTTTGGGTCTTGGTGAAGACATGTTTTATTCCTAGTTCATTATCGTTTCCATATCTGAAGGGGGGAAAAAAGAATGATGAAGATGAAGGTACCACACATTATCATTTCCAAATCTGGAACACATCGAAGAACATTTGGATATAAAAAAAAATTAAAAGGGCAAATACCATAAAAGCCACTACATTTTCACGTGTTTTTGAGAAAAGCCCTATTATTATTTTTTGGTTGGCTCTGGCCACAAATTGGACATAGAATTACCACTCTAGTCCATTTAACGATTTTCATGGTTAACTCTGTTAAATTTGTTGCAAAATCAGTCCTAAAAGTTCAAATTTGGTCCCTATAGTTTGCAAAAATTTACACAACATGTCCAAAACTCGGTTTTATGTTTTTTAACTTCTTTATTTTCATTTTTTTATTTTTTAATCAAAGCTAAACTTGCTTTTATATTTTTTTTATTTTTCGTCCTTTTTTCGTTTTTTTTGGTGTTTTTCGTTTTTTTTTATATTTTTTAACTTTTTTTTTTGTTTTTTTATATTCATTTATTTTTCATATTTTTTTCGTTTTTTGGTTTATTTTTCATATTTTTCGTATTTGTTTCGTATTTTTTGTTTTTTTTTTGTATTTTTGTTACGTTTTGTTTTTCGTCAAATTGATAATTCTTTAGAAAGTGTAAAGTGTATGAATATATTAGAGTATAATACATTTATGGTGTTTGAATTTTTTTTGGTTTTCTAAAAAAAATGAAAAAACGAAAATAAAGAAAAAAACGAAAAAAATATATAAACAAATATGAAAAATAAGTGAATATAAAAAACGAAAAAAACAAAAAAAAAAAAAAGAAGTTAAACAAAAAAAAAACAAAAAAATGAAAAAAGAACGAAAAATATAAAAAAATTAAAAAATATAAAAGCAAGTTTAGCTTTGATTAAAAAATAAAAAAATAAATGAAAATAAAGAAGTTAAAAAACATAAAACCGAGTTTTGGACATGCTTTGTAAATTTTTGCAAACTACAGGGACCAAATTTAAACTTTTAGGACTGATTTTGTAAAAATTTTAACAGAATTAACCATGAAAATCGTTAAATGGGCTAGAGTGTTAACTCTATGTCCAATTTGTGGCTAGAGCCAACAAAAAAAAAAAATAAGGCTTTTCTCAAAAACACATGAAAATATAATGGCTTTTATGGTATTTGCCCAAATTAAAAACATGAACTATTGAAGAACATTTGAAATCGATTTATGGCTTGATCCCACAATCTTTTACTTGATTTCAAGAACATCTAAACATTAAGAACATTAACCCAGAAAAGAACATACAATATTCTATTCAAATCGATTCTAGGTTTTGTCTAGAAGCTTTAAATCCACCGTTTCCATCTTCAAATTACCCACTAGCTACCAAATGTCCAGACCCCTATTGTTTGTTCCCAGAAGCTTCCAATTGCCTTCCATGATCTAACCTCCAGGAATAAATGAATAACATTCTTGCCTCTGGAAGCTTGAAACCTAAATTTTTTCTTTTGGAATTGGAGCCCTTTGCTGATGAGAGCTGGAAACCATTAGATGATTTATCTAATAAAATATAAAGTATCATTTTATTTTTATTTGCCGTAGAAAAAAGAAATTAAAAAAAAAACAAATAAAAAAGCCATGTGGACTACATTAATCCACATCATCAATGATTTACCTGTGAAACCGGAAGAATATTCGGTACTTCCCTTTTTTAATAGGTAAATAACAGTTATGCCTTTAGACTACCAAAAAATAAAATGAGGGATTTTTTAAACCAAAAACGAAAAATACGTTGGGCTGACATTTACCTTCTTCTTTTTTTTTTTTTTTTTTTTTTTTTTTTTTTTTGGGTTAAAATTCAATAAATCTACTATCTACACATGATTTTAGCCCATTTAAGAAAGGATAACAGGCCTCTTGGACTTGGAGTCTCGCTTCTCTTGACTCGTAGTCCAGTTGCGATCGTCTCTTCCATCTCTCTCTCTCTCTCTCTCTCTCTCTCTCAGATTTCTCTATCTCTCCTCTTGAACTCTCTCTCTCTCTCTCATGATTTTAACCTAATTTTGCTTTTCTCTTTGTTGTTGACTATTACAATGTAAAATGGTCATGATAATAGCATATTATGTGCACTGATTTTCTTCGCAATGTTGTAACATTATTATTTCTTATCCTACTCAACGATTCTCATACAAGACACACTCTGTTAATTACTGTATATTCTAATTCCTCTGTGTTTTCACTATTCGTTTTGTTTGTTTACTTGTTGCTGGATTTGTATATGTGTATCAGGCTCTCATTGTTAATTTTTGGTCTTTTATTTTGTCAGCTGATTGAAGTGATCAGGTTTACAGGCCTTCAATGTTAATTGTTCAATTTGAATTTTGGCAAGAACATGGAAAGATCAAATTCATTATGAGACCTTTTTCTGCAGTATAGTTTTTTCCTTTCATGGCAACAAATTAACATAGGAATACAGCTATCTCCTTTATCTCTTTCACATCACTCTCATCAAATCTAACTACAGAAACACCAGATAAAGAAGCCATGAAACCCCCAAAACAGAAAAAACTACAACAATCAAAAGAAAAACAAACCCATCTCCAAAATCCACATGAACCTACAAATACAATAATCAAAGATCTCCTCTGGTTCTCCCTCATTGCCACATTCTTCAAACTTCTCCTCATCCCAGCCTATCACAGCACTGATTTTGAAGTCCACCGTAACTGGCTAGCCCTCACCCACACCCTACCATTATCTCAATGGTACACAGACGAAACAAGCCCATGGACACTCGATTACCCTCCATTCTTTGCTTACTTTGAGTATCTCCTTTCCCATTTCGCGTCCCTCGTGGACCCCACAATCACAGATCTCTACAATGGCCTAAACTACAAATCCCCTTCAGTCATCATCTTCCAAAGACTCACAGTAATCGCCTCCGATTCAATCTTAAATCTATTCCATTTACAAATTAACTAAAAACTTGAACTCAAAGAAACGCCTCTTGATCTGGATTTCAGTCATTTCATCACCCGGGTTATTAATTGTTGACCATATCCATTTCCAATACAACGGGTTTCTTCTAGGGCTTTTAATGGCCTCTTTAGGTGCACTTCAAAATGGGCATGACTTAACTGGTGGTTTCATTTTCGCGATTCTGCTATGTTTCAAACATTTATTTGCAGTTGCGGGGCCCGTTTATTTTGTGTATATTTTACGACACTACTGTCGCGGAGGCTTTTTGAGGGGTTTCAGTAAGTTGATAACAATGGGAGTAGTAGTGATTGCTGTTTTTGTAGCAGCTTATGGACCCTTTGCATATCATGGACAAATACAAGATGTTTTGAAACGTATGTTTCCTTTTGGTAGGGGATTATGCCATGCATACTGGGCTCCTAATTTTTGGGTGTTCTATATACTCTCAGATAAACTCCTTGCTTTTGTGTTTACAAAATTAGGGTTTTATATCAAAACACCAACTGCTTCATTCACTGGAGGGCTTGTTGGGGATTCTTCTCCTTTTGCAATATTACCTACAGTTACTCCTTTGGTAACATTTGGTGTTGTTCTTCTTGCTATTTTACCTTGTGTTTTTAAGATTTGGAGGAATCCTGACCCTAAAAAGATTGTTAGATGGGTTGCATATGCGTACACATGTGGGTTTTTGTTTGGGTGGCATGTTCATGAAAAGGCTTCTCTTCATTTTTTGATTCCACTTGCAGTTGTTGCAGTAGAAAGCATTCAGGATGCACAACATTACTTCATGTTATCTATAGGTATTCATGATTTTATTTGCATATTAATTATTGAACGCCATTAATGTGACATATTTTTCTTTGCAGTTTCTATATACTCGTTGTTTCCTCTTCTCTATGAAGCTCAAGAATATCCTGTAAAAGTGATCTTGCTTCTTTTATATGTTGCTATAATGTGGTTTGGCTTTTCTTCTACATTTTCTGAGAAAAAAGATGGTGTTGTTAGTGGATGGATAGAAAAGAGTTATATGGTTGGGTTTGTGGTTGTGGAGATATGGGGACAGTTTCTTCATCCTTTGATTCTTGGTGATAGATTTCCGTTTCTACCCCTTATGCTTATCTCATTTTACTGTGCGTTAGGAATGATGTACTCTTGGATTTGGCAACTTAAATCTATTATTAGGTCTCATTGATGATTGTTGTCGATTAACACATCAAATTCTTATGTAATGTAACCCCTACTGTGTCAAGTTCTTGTTGTCGATTTGAATTATTTGGACTTGCAAACTAGCTTCGTTTTTGGTAAATTTTTGTTATCGGTTTTAATGGTTGAGTTGGAGGGCCTGATTTCATTTGATCTTCATATATAATCATATCATAAGAAAGCATACAAGAAAAATATATTGTTAGGGTTTTTAAGATCCATATATTATTGGTAAGTGTGGTTATTCTTGATTTGCAAAAATGTTTTAGAATATTTAGCATAAATATCATAAATTAAATAATTTTTGCTCATTATTAAACATAAAATTGTAAATCAATTTGCATGCTGTAAGATGACACTTCAAAATCCCTATATGTGTGTGGAACAAAGATTTACTCCCAAATGTTTACAATTTTCTTTGGATCCTAAGACTACATGGAGTGCGGCTCGCCTCTAACACACCACACTTGCCAACTCGCCTCTAACACACCACACTTGCCAACACTGCTCCCTGGTGTCTCGCCAAGAGGAGCTCGTCGATGGTGTATTATGAAGAGAGAGAAGTAAATAATGTCTTTTTTTGCAACTTTTTGACCAAAAATAAAGAGGATTATTAAAAAAAATAGCTTTTTTATAAAAAAAAAAAAAATCAAATTTTTTTAAAACCACTATAAATATACACTAAACCTCAACATTTTATTACACACAATCTCATTCTTTCTCTCATAATCTCTATTTCCAATTTCATGCCTTCATCAAATCCTTCACTAAACCATACATCACTGATACCTTATAGACCCTTGTACGATCAACCTTTCTACTCTCCTGCAAATTATCATTTTGCGGGCATGGCTCCAAATATGTATCAATATCCTTAATACATATCGCTCATATGAGCAAATTTATTCCAAATGGAGGACGACTATCAAAAATGTTATGGAGTTTAATGACATTTATATGAATACCGCCCGCAACCCGCAAAGCGGTACTAATGAAGTGGACATTATTGCAAATGTTTATGCCATTTACAACAAACATTTGCAAATTAGTCATTTTAGCTAGCTTTGCATAAAAAACCAAAATGGTTTTGTCTTAAATCATTAGATGATTTTACAAGTACAATTTCAAGAAAAAATAAATCGTTAGAGACAAACCATAACCAATCTTCCGACGGTCATGTTGGGTTTGACATCAACAACGCCGGACTCATATGAAATGTCAATTAATATTTGTTTAAAAAATTGATAGTTGTTAAAAAATTTAAACAAAATTAAAAGAAATGATGTTGCATGTTAAGGCACGCTGCCATCTCTTTAATAGACCTTGTGTTTAGTTGACATGCAAAAAGACGACACGACAACATAAGATGCATACCACCGATCCCTTTTATCTAAATCTACAATACACTTTTAATTTGATAAGTGGAAATATAAACGGACTTTTTACCAAGTATTTTAGTATAACAAAATTAACCATATCGACAAGACACTATGCTGTGAAATCAATTGAATGACAAAATAATCTTACATACTCGAATCAACAATTAAAAAAAAAAAAAAAAAAATCGGTCTATCATGTTATTTGGCATCTAAGAAATAATTCTGGATGCTTGCGCTTTAATGTTTCTCTTTGTCCAACTTCTCATTCAGACAGGGGATAAGCATGGCTAAAGCCTCTTTCTAAACCCTAAAACTTCCGATGGCGATGGTTTCAACCCTTGCCTCTACATACCCATCTCCCAAAACTTTCTCAGCATTCGATTCCACTTCTAAGAACGACATCAAAGTCTATCCAATCATGTAATTTTACTACAGCGCTTCCTGCTAAGAGGAAATTGGGGATTTTTTCATTTGGTAGAAACAATCTAGGGTTTGTTGTAAAATCAACATCCAGTGATGGAGAAGGAGAACAAGTAGAGAGTCCTACGTCAAAGGATGTTAATAATGAAGCCGAAATACAAGCGCGAGGAGAGAGCACGATGCCTGAAAGGTTTAGATACTTGACCAAAGAAGTTCCTGATCCTCCTATTAGATGGCCTTATTTTATAGGTAATTTTACACTTTTCTTAATCTGTACATACTTTCTATGGATGTTTTTACGTGTCTATTTAGTGAAGTTGAATATGCATTTTTGGTGTTTAGCACTTAATCTCGATTTAAAGCTCAAATAGTGTTCATGAATCATGATAGAAACTGACATTTCTACCTTTTGTTTTATTTAACCAAATCAGCATTAGGTTTCCTCGTCTATGCTTGGAGAACAGTCATATGGGAACTTTACAACTGGAAAAGAGCTGCAACATCTATACTTCAATTTCTTGGAAACCTTTCAAAGCTATTATTAGCACTCATATTCCATTTCATAGGCGATCCAATCACTTCAACAATTAGAGCCATTGAAACTACCTTTTACACCCTTCGTGCATTTTACTCTCAAATAGTAGCATACACTCCCATTCCCGAGCTTTCAACAGTCATCATGTTGACTTCAATCATACTTGCCATCAGTGAAGTTGCATCTCCAACTTCTGTAGACAACCAATGGCATCTGTTAACAGTTTCTGGCCTCATTGGGTACTTTGCTGTCAAAGGAATGATTGGAGACCTTCCCTTTTGGACTATTCTTTTTGGGTTATTTTCTTTTTCTCGTTTTATCAATAAGAGAGATTATGTCTCCTCTGTTTTGCCCGTTGCAGCAGTGTTAGCAGGTGTAGGAGAGCCATGGGTTAGAGTGGTGGTGATGGGTGGTTTTCTGGGTTTGTCTGTGTTTCAGTACTCAAAGAATCAGCCTGAAATAGAAGTAAGTGACGGTGTTGCTACAACAACAGGGGACAGAAGGGTTCCTGTTCCTTTATTGTGTGCAGCATTAGCCATTGGTATACGTGTTGCTGCTAGGTGGGCTGGGTATAGGCATTTGACATGGATGGTGGTTTGAGAGGTCTGTTTAGTTCAGTTTTGAATACTAGATGTAAAGGTATGGAGCTCTTGAGGCTTTGAATCTGTTTAATGGGAAAGTGATTATATTGTTACTTAGCTTGTTGGATTTGATTAGATTTGCTCCTATTGGAGTTATATTCGAGGCAAATTGTTGTTTAATGTTTTTCTTATCTTCTACTATCTTAAAGTAAATCGCATGAATGGTGTCATTTTCTTTGGGGAAGGTCTTGAAAGATTGATTTTGACAAAAAACTCCAAAGTCGTCGTACAACCCTATTTAACCAGAAGATCCCACATCTCCACATTCCATTGATTGAAATCATTCAAATTTTGTGGGACAACATCTCTATAATCAACATATCAAATTGTGGCTCTGATACCACTTGTTAGGAATAAACGAGAAATATTGAACACCCACATAAAGCTTCAGTATTTAACGTGGTTCCGTCAATGTGACCTACATCCACATGGCAGGAGGGAGTATTTTAAAATAGATAAATGGTATTGTGGTACTATCAACCACTATCGAGACCGACAAAAGACCATTTAATATAATCTAGCTAGCATTCCCTATTTATTTATAAACCAAGGATCACACATCAAATCCTAATGGGTCATGCCCTTCTATTTTTAGGCTCGAATGAATGTCAACCAAACCAATCATAAGATCATGTAATTGCTTCTAGAATCTTCAACATTGAGAGAATGTGCATGACTACGTGCCATTCACCTAGGCAACGCATTTTGGAAATGTCAACACGCATCCGGAGGCGCATTCTCCATAGCTTCGGTGCATCCTCCAAGTTTTCAGCACATTTGACCGTGCCGCACAATGCATTTGGAAAATCTCCATGTTCCAGCGCATTAGCCTGCCTCCGATGCATTTTTCTGTAGCATATTTGGCAATGCTTCGACGCAATTGGCCAAATGCTCCACTGTGTTACCAAAAGCTCCAACGCATCTTTCGGGGCTTCAATGCTCAAGTCACATTTAACAATTATTTAATGTTTTACATTGTTATTGTGTATGCAAATAGTTATTTATTTCGCTTGAATTATTATCATAATATTTTGCTTAACGTTTGAACTTGAAGGTTATCGACTTATAACACATTAATATGCCCCTTTACACCAACCTCTACCTAGATGTACATTGATAATCCACCATGGTCAAAATGCAGATTTGTTTCATTCACATACAATTGGGAGATACTCAACTGAGCACACACACGAAAGGAAACGCACAAACACAAGTGGTTCTTAGTTGCTAAGATTGTGAGGTGTACCTGTACCGCACACCATGGTGAGGTGAGGTTTCACTACGGTGGTGCGGTGAACACCACACCGCCTGATGTGTGGTTATGCGGTTAGGTTCCTTGCGCAAGAAGAATACACCGTGCCTCTTTCTCTTTTTCATGCTTCATATTATTGTACAGTGAGAGATGATCATTTCCTATTAATGAAAAAGAGAAAAGATTAGGGTAAAATAAGGTGGCAATGAAGTGCTAAGGAAAAAGTGAGTCGATAATGGCGAAGCTGTGGCTGGGTATGTGTTTGTAGTAACATCAAAGTATTCCTACAATTTGAAAACAAGGGTATTATTGTCGAGTAATATTTTCTTTTAATTAGAAAGATTTAAAATAACAAAAAATTATTTTAAAAATGTTTTAAAAAAATGAGCAAATTTGATATTTGGAAAGCTCATTTAGGGTAAATACGAAATTAATTAGATATTAGATCGGCAAATATATGTGTGTGTGTGTGAAGAGAATGATGTGAAGTCCAACATCTAGAAATTTTGACTTTGTTTCTAAATTTGTGGTTAAACCGTTGAAGGGAGTGGAAATGACTTTCCAAAACATGTGACGGAACGAAAGAGTTATATCAATTTAAATTGACCCACTTGTAATATTATTATTCTAAGTGGGTTTAGCAAGTTAAAAAAATACTCCTTTTTTTGACTCGGAACCAGTCGTGTTTGACCTCTAAGAACTTCACCTTAGTCATGGCTTAATGCCAGTTGTATAAACCCCAAGTAATACTGGTAATATGTTTGTGCATATGATTTGATACCTCTCAATCTCTCAAATTTTGTACAAGTCATGTGCTTCTTCAAAGAAAGAAGTCTGGGGAGGTTTCTGGTCCTCCTGTGTTTCTCTCTGACCATAACTCTCTCATCTGGAGCCAACACCATATCTGCAAACCAGTCTCTGTCTGGAGACCATACAATCATATCTGAAGGTGAACAATTCGAGCTGGGTTTCTTTAAAGCAGGTAACACTTCCAACTATTACATTGGCATTTGGTATAAGAAGCTCAAATCCAATCCTCTTTCCATAGTTTGGGTGGCAAACAGAGAAACACCCCATCTCTGATAGATTTCGTTCAGAACTAAAAACCATTGATGGTAATTTGGTGCTCTTGAATGAGTCCAAGTCCCAGATTTGGTCCACAAATGTCACAACCACCACCACCACTTTGAACTCTGCAACAGCTGTTATTCTTGATAATGGTAACTTAGTTTTGAGAGACTCCGGTTCAAATTCAGTTGAACCTTTTTGGCAAAGTTTTGAGCACCCAACTCATACTTGGTTGCCTGGTGCTAAACTTGGTTATGATAATAGAACAAAACAGAGTCAGATTATTAGATCATGGAGAAGCAACGATGATCCTGCTGTAGGACTATTCTCAGTGGAGCTTCATCCGCCAGGTAAAGAGTATGTAAGCAAGTGGAATGGCTTCCAACAATATTGGACAAGTGGGGCTTGGGATGGGGAAGCATTTTATTTAGTACCGGAAACAAGGTTGGATTACAATTACATATACAGCTACCATGAAAATGTTAACGAGAGTTACTTCATTTATTCTGTGTATGATCCTTCCATTATATCTTTATTTATATTAGATGTTTCTGGTACAATTCAGCAATTAGCATGGTCGGAAAATAATAAAGAGTTGAATTTAATTTGGTTTGAACCTAAAACGCAGTGTGAGGTCTACGCTTTATGTGGGTCTTTTGGGATTTGCAGGCAGTCTGGATTACCTTTTTGTAATTGCTTGACTGGCTTCAATCCTAGATCAGAGAGTGATTGGAATCAGAGTGATTTCTCTGGTGGGTGTTTGAGAAAAACCGATTTGCAGTGTGGAAGAAACACGGAAAAGCAAGATTTTCTCAAGATTAGAGTCAAGAATCTGCCTCCAAATAACTCTGTAGCAGTTGGGAGTGCTGGAGAATGTCGTACCACCTGTTTGAATGATTGCTCCTGTAATGCTTACTCTTTTGTCGGTACTCAATGTTTAGTTTGGGATGGAGATCTCTTGAACCTCTCAGAAGACGATGGTAGTGGGAATACAATCTACATTAAAGTTGCTTCTAAGGATCTTCCTCGTCCTAAAAAGAATAATAATCTGGTTGTTGCTGTTGGGGTGGTGGGAGGTGTGGTTCTTTTCTTGGTTCTAGTTTTGGTTTTAATCTATGGAAAAAAGAGGGTATCATTATCGGTGGGAAAGACGACAATGGAGGGTTTGCTGGTGGCGTTTGTCTACAAAGATTTGCAAATAGCCACCAAAAATTTCTCGGAAAAATTGGGAGAAGGTGGTTTTGGTTCTGTTTTCAAAGGGGTACTGCTTGATTCGTCGATTGTGGCAGTGAAAAAGCTGGAAAGCATCAGCCAAGGAGAGAAGCAGTTCAGGAGTGAAGTCAGCACAATCGGTACCATCCAACACGTTAATCTTGTACGCCTTCGTGGGTTTTGTGCACAAGGTAACAATAAGCTGTTGGTGTATGGTTACATGGCAAACAGTTCTCTGGACACCCATCTTTTCCATGGTAAGCAAGTTCTAAACTGGGAAACGAGGTATCAGATTGCACTTGGAATTGCAAGAGGATTGGTTTATCTTCATGAGAAGTGCAGAGACTGTATCATTCACTGTGACATAAAGCCAGAAAACATTCTTCTAGATTCCGAATTCTGTCCGAAAATTGCAGATTTTGGTCTGGCAAAGCTTGTTGGTCGAGAATTTAGTAGGGTTTTGACTACTATAAGAGGGACACGAGGGTATCTAGCACCAGAATGGTTATCAGGGGTGGCTGTCACAGCTAAAGCGGATGTTTATAGCTATGGAAAGATGCTTTTTGAATTAGTTTATGGCAAGCGAAATACAGTGCCTTGTGAAGATTCAAGGAGTACATTCTTCCCTAGTTTGGTTGCCGATGTTCTTAATGGGGGAGGTGATATCCTTAGCTTGCTAGACAGTAGGTTAAACGGGGAAGCTAGTGTTGAAGAAGTCACAAAAGTTTGCAAAATTGCATGTTGGTGTATCCAATATGAGGAAGAGAGTAGACCATCAATGAGCCTCGTGGAACAGATGCTTGAAGGGGTTTTGGCTGTGAACATGCCTCCGATACCCCAATCTTTCACATTATTTGTTGATAACCCGGAGCCTATTATTTTCTTCATGGAATCACCCTCCAATGGGAGTTCACAGGCACGCAACAATTCCTCATAATCGAAGAGCTCATCATCTTGAAGGTGATTTTCTTTATCTTTTGTGTTATATTCACACCAAACATTGTATTGTTGTAGATAAAAGGAGTCATTGACATTGTGTGGCAAGTTGATCATCGTTAATTTGTTATTGTGAAAAGAACATAAGTTATGTTAGAGCAATAATTGTTTTTCTTTGCATTCGCATACCTACAACTATGGAGATTTGTAAAGGTATTTCATGGAAATTTGTAAAGGTATTTATTAGGCGATAGACACAAGGTTACGTTGCTTAGTCTTCAAGTCATTTTATATTAAGAAACTATTATATATTATCTTTGGTAAACCTAGATAGCCTTTACGTATAAATAGACTTCACGTGTATGATAAATGACGTGTATGATAATAACAGAGGCAGTTTTACCAATTCTTATATGATATTGGAGCATTTTCGATCCTAAGTCATCTCCCTCTCTTCTTTCTCACGACAAACCCTTTGTCAGCATATTCTTTTTCTGGGAAAATAAATTATAAGTCCAAGGAAGTTTCCAAATCATTCAAAAAACCCCAATTATATTTTGTATGTTCAAGAAAACCCAACGAACTTAACATTTTGTCTAAAAAGGCCAACTAATTTAGGGGCTGTTTGGCAGGATCTGAA